ACTGAATAGAATCAGAAATAAACAATGTAATTTCCAAGAAAAACAATTTTTCAGGAGGAATTATAAGTTATAATACATGTCATTAAGCTTCGGTTTCAAAAGCATGAAATTTAACCATATAACTTCTATTGAAATTGAAAAATCAATTTGAAAACATTTATTAGTCTAGCATTTATGAGCCCCATTGTTTGGCTGGAGTTTTATAAATTACCGCACAACATACAATATTTAAGTATCTGAGACCTGGTATTTCATAAATTTCCCCTATTCAAGCAATTCACAATACATGCTAAGGAAACCCTGCAGTTATTTTTGTTTGCTAACTGAATTTGTGGTCTCTGGTTATAATTGCAAAAATGTTGCTCTATAGGTCAAGTTTGAAGTATGTGGTGCTTAAAAATTTTAATTTTCTTATTTGTTTTGGGAGAATAATTTGTAGTATTTCAAACTTTCCTGGTAAACTAACTACTTGGTGGTATATTTTTACACTGTTTAATATATATATATATATATATATATATATATATATATATATATATACATACACATATATATCCCTCCCTTTGGCTAATGGAGTTAACCTATTCCTTATGTGAAGTTTGATATTAAATTATAAGCTTGAGTGAAATAATTGCGTTTCATGTTTTATAAATTTAACTTGTGTTTCTATAAACTTTTGCATATGTGTCTCTTATAGCACATAGGATACTGATTTCTACATTTTCCTGGCTACCCCTACTGTAGAAAGTTTGTTATGTGCCTTATTGGTCTATGAATCCCTGGCATTTACAAAGCTCTTAAAAAATGTAGGTGCTCCAAAAGGTATCTGAATTGCACTTGTTGAAAATTAGTTCATTTGACTCTCATTAATAGAAAATACAAACACCTTATACCATTATTGTTCAATGATCTGTAAATAACTGGACAATGTTAGTTTAGTTTGCTGCCTGATTTTGGTACAACGTGTAATATTCTGGGTTTACAATTCCATAAAAATGTAGAATTGTAAAATAGGTCATGTTTATATTCATGAGAATATTTTTCTCATTTATGAAACCAGAAAATGAGTTTAATGTTTAACAGAATGACACAAATAATTGGTTAAATGAAATATTTATATTAAACTTTATATGCATATATACATATATTACTTAATGGCTTTGATAATCTTTCTGACAAGAAGAAGTCCTAAAAAGAATACATTCTGGGGGCTGGGATTGTGGCTCAGAGTGAAAGCACTCACCTTGCATGCATGAGGTGCTGTTTTTGATCCTCAGCCCCACATAAAAATAAAATGCAGATATTGTGTCCTCCTATAACTAAAAATATAAATATTAAAAAAGAATATATTCCCTTAACCTGTTCACTTCTTTTTATTTTCCTTTTCTAAGAAAAAGGAAAATATATGTTTTTGAGATTCACCTAGCCCAATTTCGAAAGTAGACAAAACAAAATTATACATTTTCTAAAAAAAATGGTTTGATAATAGTTTGATGTGGTCTTCTTTTCTATGCACCTTATGGATTTTTCTTAATGTAGTGATTCCCATACATAATAACATGAAAATTTCTGTTTAATGTCAGAAATTCATTTTTGTAATTCATTTATTTATTCATTTGCTGCACCCCTGGGTGACACCCCAACCCCACAGTTTTTAAGGACTGCTAACATAAAGATTGCATTTCTTGTTTTGTGTAACTATAATTAACTCCCTGGTTAACAACAGACATGTAAGTTTTACTGCATCTATTTTT